ATGCTCCTGGTGCTACAGAGATACTTGGTCTCATTCCTCTCCTGGAAAAAAATGATTATGCAGCCTGGCATCAATTTCTTCGAGGTGTGTTGGATTTTGGAGAGCAAATCAAGTGGCATATTACAGAAAGAAAAGCAACTTAACATGTTTTCTAGTAGCCGGGGCCTTGGCAGCAGGATTTGATGCTATTCTGAGGTATCTGCCTGCCCTGAAGGAGGAGGCATGTGTCATTCTGTTTTCCAATAGTTTGGGATAGGTAGACTCCAGGTAAGAAGCAGCTTCCTGCACATGGGGCTCTGTAGGCTAAACAGGGAAGATTCATAGATAATTCAGATGTCCAGGCAGCAGGATTTCTTGTGACCTCTGTTATGCTAGGCTCAGCACAGGAGATAATGTCTAAAAAGCTGTTTGGAGAATAAACTGCTGATGGCTTTTACCCCCTTGATGCATGAAGTTCTCTGCAGGAAACTGCTTGTGGAAAGAGGAATTGAAGGGGAGGGAGCGTACAGAAGGGTGGAGACAGTCAAATGAATATCCTGTGAATGAAAGATGGCACCTTTCTTTTGCCTCAAATGAGGTTGTTGCAATGTCTATTTACAATATATGAACAAACCTGGTGAAACAAACTGCTGCATGTTCCCTCCCCATGGAGGCAGACTGAGAGAGAGCAAAGCGTACTGCATATTTGTCATTTTGTTTGATGCAACTCCTGAAAAGACCCTGTCCTACTCATACAATATGGCCAGGAGCAGAGACTTGGCACAGGCACTGAAAGGGCAAAGGGGTATTCCTCCTAATAGGAGATTGAAGCTTCAGGTATGCAGTGTGCTTTAAAGGGGATGAAAACCGGTACCTTTGAAAACCTGCCTGCTCTAGAACTTTACTTGTTCTGCTTGTTTTAATCTGTTTTTCTCTTTTTCACTGAAGATAAACAAAAGCCTGTGAGGACTTGTGCCTCCCTGCTCACAGATGGAAGACTCCAAGGAAAAAATCATCCTGAATGTTGGGGGAGTCAGATATGAAACATACAGCAGCACTCTCCGTGCCTTCCCAGGGACCAAGCTGTGCAGCCTCACAGACCCCCATGCCCCAAGCATCTATGACTATAATCCCACCACCAAAGAATTCTTTTTTGATAGGAGTGGCGAGATCTTCAGCTATGTGTTGAATTACTATAGGACCAAGCATCTCCACTGCCCCATACATATCTGTAGGTCAGTTTTAGAAGAAGAGCTGGCATTCTGGGAAATAAATGAGACACAGCTAGCATCCTGCTGCTGGCTAAAGTTGAATAACAAGAAGGTGCCACCAGACGAATTACACATTTTGGATGAAAATGATCAGGCCGATGACCAGCACCTCATAGTCCAAACAGAAAGAATGGATTGCAGATGGAGAACCAGGTGGCAGCCAAAAATCTGGTCTCTCTTTGAAAAACCCTTTTCCTCTTTCAGTGCTAAGGTAATATCCCTGGAAATGAACACAGTCTATATTCTTTGGGATTATTCAAATGTGTCTATGAAAGATGCTAATGAGTTTTTACCTTTGTACCTTTTTGGAATCTAGATTGAAAAAATAGGCATCTTGGAATACCTACTCTCCTTCACTGATGCTTTGACAGTAGAAACTTATTCCTCAAGGTGTCTTCTAGGTTTTACAGCTGAACTCGCTATGAGATTTAGATGCAGATATGCTTTCCCTCAGAAGCTGTGGGGCTGCATCTTGCAGCTGTGGTCTCCGTGGTAAATCCACTATGGGCTGCATATGTACATGAAAATTGAAGAGGGTGTATGTTCAACTGTCCGTCTTCTTCCTAGTGGCAGTAGCAGGCAAGGTTAGTTGGTAAGTCCCACATCTTTTCACAGGACAGCTGTCCCCCCTCCTTCCCATAGGCAGCCAGTAAAGGACATCTGTTCCATTCATGGACAGCTTGCTGGACCATGGGGGTAATCTGTCTTTTCCTTCCATCTCTACCCAACATGAATAACCAAAATGAACATGTCCTGAAGAAAACCTTGGAGATTGTGTCCATATTGTATATTGATTTCAGAATCTGTCTTCTCTCTAACGTACACTTTTTTTTTTAAATCTCCTTGTCACTATGTAAAATGCATGTCCCTCCCTTTTCTGAAAGGTCAGGCATGCAGAACAACAAACAAAAAACAGTCTGAGAGGATGTTTTCTGCTGTTCCAGCATTTTTGAAGCCAACACTTAAGTGCTGGAAATGTGCTCAGTGTGAGTCTGTCCATGTTACCCCGTCTGTCAGACGTTCCCTAGAAGCTCAGATATAGGAGTCTTGTCTGTGTTGTTGTTGTCTTTTTTTTTTTTTTTTCTTCCCCTCGATCCCAATTTTCTGTATGTTTGTTTTCAAACGTGGAAGGAGAAAAATATTCATCTGTGCAGAACAACTATTAGCAGAGCATTTGAGAAATGTTGATTTGATATCATCCTGTGTCTGTGGAGGGGATCCGGGGTTTGAGGTAGAGCAGTAAGGTAATGTGGTACTTATTTGCTGGACTAATGGTATCTGTACCCTTTATTCCCTCTGCAGTGTCTGGCCGTTGTTTCTCTGCTGTTCATCATTGGAATTGTCATCATATTCTGTGAGGAGACCAAGGCACAATTTGACTTCTTCACTGCTAACTTCACCTTTATTGGCCGTTCTGGAGTTGCCCACAACTACCATGAATCCCATTACCACCAGGCTGCCTCTTTGCTTCATCTGGAGCTTTTCTGTGTCCTTTGGTTTACTTTTGAGTTTTCTGTGCGATTTTGTGTCTGCCCCGACAAAAAGAAATTCTTCCAGAATCCCTTGAACATGGTTGACTTTCTGTCACTTTTTCCAGTTTATATTGAACTCTTTTTGGTTGGGCAGATTCAGAAAATGCCAAGTTTAGGGCTTTGGCTGGGCTTTATTCGTGTTGTCTATCTCCTCAAACTCTTGAAGTTATCCAAGCTGATAGAAACCCCGCTTACTCTTAGAGTTCTGTCCTATACACTCAAGTCTATCCTCCGTGAGATCTGCATCCTATTGATGATTTTAGCCTTTGAAACCCTTTTCTTTGGTGCTCTGTTTTTTTATGGGGAGTTGCTTTGTAGCAATCCTTCCCTCACTGGGGAGCTGCACTTCACTGACATTTTTGTCTGCTTCTGGTGGGCTCTGATCACACTCACTACAGTGGGCTATGGAGATATCATTCCTCTCACTACTGTTGGCCAAGTGATAGCGGCCTTAGCTGCAGTATTCGGTATGTTAACTATTATCATACCAATCCCCATTTTCCTGGTGAAATTTAAAAGCTACTATGCTGTTGCTGTCTTCAAACAGAAGCTGAAAAGTTGAAAGAACTACTAACTCCACTGATCTTAGAGCTTCTGTTCCCCTTTAACCTTGAGCAATAAACCCTCAGAATGGTTTGTTCCCTTTGGTGGGAAGAGGGAGCTTACGGTCTGTGTTGCATTTACTTGTTGACCACTGATAAGGCCTATTAAATTCCATGGGTGTTTCCCATACAGTATGTCATGCCATGCTCTTTTGTTTGCTATGGCACCTCTGTCTTTTCCCCTGCTGCTCCCACCTCTTTTCACAGAGTCTGTTGTGCTGCATTAAGGCCCAAACATGTGTCACGTAGGGCAGGATCATGCTCTAGGCTTGGAGTGGGTCTCTGCTGGTGCACGACCCCTGATGCTGGCTCTGTTCTTTAGCACGTGACCAGCCGTTACCTCATTTTACATGAGATAATGCTAGGGGAAAAAAGCTTGTCAAAGGTCCTAAATTGAAACGGGGGAGAAATCAGGAATTTTCAAACAATGTTCTGTCTTCTCATTTTACATTTTATTAATGAGCCCAGTGCATCCAATTTGCCTGTACTTCCCCACTACTGTAAAGAAGAGAGCAGGCTTGACTGGAAATCTGTGGTCCTGAGAGCCAACACTGTTAGCCTGCTCCGGAGGCTCAGGAGAACTGTGGCATTCGGGTAGCAACAAGGGAGCCCTCCGACCCCAAATCCTTTTGGATTCTGCTTAAGTCAATGGCACTGTTTCCTTGACCTCAGTGAGATAAAAGTTTCATTGGAAATCGCTGAGCTATTAGGCAAAATATCTGTGTAGTTTTTGCATTCTGGTTCTTCTGAAAGGAAGGACATGACCTGAAGTACTCAGTGTAATTTTCATGCATTTATTTCCTTAAGGCATAGCTATAAAGTAGAAATACTTTTAACTGGATAACCTTAATTGTTACATATATTTCACATATTGCTGAGATAAAAAATAATTGCTTCCCATTATTAATATAGTGGGATGATGACCTAAGATTTTTTTTGGTAGTTAAAAATGATTATGTACAATAACACATGTATTTAAATTCCATGAAGAATGTATTTTAATTGCAATATTGATTGAATATTGTCTGACTTTTTTTTTAATTTGAGGTATATTTTAAAACTCCTTTGTTGAAACATGACAATTTCCTTACAATTCCAACAATTGTGGAGGAATTCCAACAAGATTCCACCACAACTGCAATAACTTAGTTTACTTTTGAAGACAAAAAGAAAGATGGTGCAAAACATTTCAGGCATGAAGCAATGGAAGGAAGCCGTTGTCCTGCGTTCAGTTTTGCTGTGGCCAGTAAAGAGAGGACCAGCAGGGCGAGTCGCACTGGTGCACAGGAGTTTTAGCTAATCAGAGCTAAAGTGTTACGTTAGCTGCAAACATATAGCCTTGGAAATCCACATACATTGCAACAGCTAGCAGAGGTTTGCCTTGCCTGTTATCTGACTTTCCCCAGCCCAAGAAAGGATGTGTGACATAATCACAGATATAATGTGTAATATACCACAGATCTGACTTTCATGTTATGAGCACGGTTCAAATGCGCTGACGTTTGCGTTTTGTTGTCTCAGTTTAGGAGGTGCCCGGGCGTGCGGCCGTGGGTCCCGCAGCCCTGGCCCCGCCGCCGCGTTCCCAGCCCCGCTCCCGCTTTCCAGGCTGCTCCCAGCAGAGGGGGCTCTCAGCGCACGGCAAGCTCAGCTCTGTGCAGGGCATGGGGTGAGCATCACAACTGATCCCTGTGCTGTGTTCTGTAACACATCTAGACCAACATGTGCTTCCCTCTCACAGCATTTTGTATCTGCTCCCATTTGCCATAGTCAGCAGCACGTAGCAGGAACATTATGTCAATCTTGATGTGAGAGACTTCGTAGACATCATCGTAGGTGTGCTGGATCAAAGGATCTACTCCAGCTAAGAACTGAGTGCTAGAGTTATGGGAGGAGGAATATGTACTCTAAAAACAGCTCAAAAAACAAAAAACAAGAAGATGAATGATGATGGCAAACAATTGGTTAAATCAATATTTTTGTTCAGTTAAAGAGCAGTGTATGGAAAAACATTGCCTATTAAGAGCTGCCAAGTGCTAGTCAGATTTCAGTGCTTGCTAGTGATCTTGGTAATGTAGCTATTATGGTATCCTCGCGGAAAGAGTTTCATATCCTCAGGCTTCAACTGCTGTGTATATAAAGAAAGCATGCTTTAAAAAGTGCAATCCCAGTGTAAAGACTGTGATATAATTCACTCCAGAAAATTCACCTGAGTCACAAAGTTCCAAGGACAGAAATCATTTCCTAAGCTACATGCTGGAGGTGTCTTCCTTGAGATTTGCCCAATCACCAGAAGATACTCTGGAAAAAAAAGTATATATTAATAATGCAGAAATTATAAAATTACTCCTGCGTCAGAGTTCAGGATTTGGAGGCTAGGGGAACAGATCTCTTGTGGCTAAAATTCAGATTGGTGCTTTTTAAAAAAACTTTTTAAGTTACATCTGCCTTTTGTGATGAGAAGGCCACTGTATTGAAATGAAAGGACACAGATCACAGCATTTCACAGTACTTCAGGAGACTCTAAAATGCTTATAACCTCCCTCCTCCTCGGGGTATGTTTCGCATAAGCCTCAAAGCAAAGGGGATTTTCTCCAAGATAGAGCAATTGCCAAAATACAGTCCTGCCGTATGTCCAGCTCACTACCACAAAGTTAGCCAGATCATCTAAATGCAAGCAGAAAGCAAATTCCTACTATGGCTGTTCAGTAAAAAGTACTGCTTTCAAAGTCTACCACCACCTGTTGTATTTCTCCAACCCTAACTGGATACATATTCAAGCTACGGCACTAGGGAGCAGAAGTACGGGTTAATTCAACTCCAGCAGTGAGAAGTGGCTGTGCTGTTCTCTTTTCGCTGTCAGCTCAGCGTAGCTGTCAAAACTAGGGTGTCTGTTCTTGAATTGAGGCCCAGTTCTTTGTCCCTCCAAGCTCCCTAAGTGTGGGTGTCTGAAGGTACTTGAGGATATGTGATCAGTTAAGCTGCGGTCCAGCCTGCACTTAAGACCATCTTCTTGACTTGCTCTTGCAGGAAGGCATGGTGGTTCTACCTGAGAAAGGGGAGAGGATGAGTTTTGACAGAAGCCTAGGAAAAAGACTGCAACAGAAAGTGAGATATATTATAGCAGTGCACTCGCCCTCCACAAAACCTTTGACCCCTTCAATCCCTGGACCATTAGGCCAGATGTTCTCTGGAGCCTGAGTTCCTCCAATAAAATTCAGCTAAAGAGCCTTTCATGTACTGTGAAAGCAGACTTTGTCAGCATTCCCAACCCAGGGGATAGTGACATACATCCACAGTGACAAAGCAGTCTGAGGTCGAGCGAGGAAGTCAGTCTACCAGCTAGGAGATCAGGTGTATTCCAAAATGTTTTATTCCTTCACTTTAAAATAAAAGAACACAAATTGTCTCACAGTGGACTAAGGACTACACCGTTTCTGTTTCTGATGCTCTATCTAATAAATTCTGTGGTCACCACACCTCCTGGTAATATCATATTCACTTGGTTTTGAAGCTGGGTTTCTAAAGGAAGGTTTTTTGTGACTGTTCTTCATCTCTGCCAAGCACTTTGAGGCTGGTCCTGTCCTCTCATCAGGAGCAGGGGAGGAGGAGGAGGGATAACAGCTCTGCAGCAGAATGAAGCCAGTCTTCCTGGTTACTAGTTTTCTTGCTTGCTTCAGACTTTGAGTGGTATCTACACAAAATAACTGCTGCAGATGAGAGCCGCTTCAGGCAGCTGAGTGCACTGTGTCCCACGCCCTTTTCTTGCATAGATTTGTAGCCAGTTTCATGCTTTACCTCCCCACCCCTTCCGCCATAGGGCCTCATTGAATTAACTGATGCAATTTGATCTTTTACGTCCTGAGCCTGTTGCAGACCTGGTGAGATGAACGGAAGTCAAAACTGGGGCAGAGAACTCCTCACTTCACGATTGCCTTTCATCCCTGTCAGTTGATGTTAACTCCTACTTGCTTCCTGGCCCAAGACAGATTGAAAGCAGTTAAAGGTTCAGTGCTCTGGTCTTCTGAGACCACTAATTCTATAAGATGTTTTCAAATGTTAGCAAAGACCTGGGAAACAACATGAGAAGCTGCACATTTGTGCTGTCTTCACTTCAGGGGCTGACTTTCCAGCAGTTTTAGCCAGTTTAAACCTGCATATCCCATCTGCTCTAGAGCAGGTACTTGGTCCTATGCATCTTGGCATCGTGAACACTCGGTGCTCCCTGTGCTTTGGATGTGGTGCAGTCATTAGACTAGGTCACAGCATCTGCCAAGGCTGGGGCTCAGGAACCATAAGCACCTCAGAAGAACCCCCTGGGTCAAGTTCCTCATTATAGGAAGGGCCAAACCTTATCCCCTGGCTCCCTCCCTCTCTTTTTTTTTTTTTTTTTCCCTCACAGAGATTTACAGTTCATGGCTGGGAAAGGCCCCATTGTATCCATGAAATGGATGACAAGGGCCACTAATGCAGCTCAGGACATTTTCAGAGGAACAAGCCATGCTCTTGGCTACCCTGCATATTGCCAACAGCATGGTATGTGGGCAGTGACTTACCTGGGTCCTGCCAAGGGTATGGAAAATTTGGGGTTTGCTGCAGCATACTCCCATTTAACAATCAGACCATACATCCCAGTGTCTGCACAGCCTGTCTGTGAGCAGAGTGACTCAGCAGCAAAGGGACGTGCAGTTGCAGATGGTAAAGTCTTCTTCAGGTCTGACTCACAGAATGCGAGTGCATCTAGCACGTGGAAAGCGAATAAAAGTCACCAGCCCTGAATCTCCATAGATCTCCTGAAAGTCCAGGACAAGCACTTTCAAGAGATGAACTAACTCCCAAATCACCATATTAATTGCCTTCCTCCAGGCATGAGGCTCTAGAACTGGAACTGATACTAGTTTTTTGTTCACCAAAGTGCAAATAATGCAAATACCCTTTGAGATATTTCTGCCTTGCCAGGTTT